CCCGCTCAGTTCTCTCCGCACCCTCCACAGTCACCATCTGGGGACCTCTGCCCGTTCCTCCGTCCTCAGTAGCCAATTCTCCATCCCAGCCTGGCGCCTGGGGCCTGCCGTCCCCTCCCCACCACACACACACACACACACACACACACACACACACACACACACACACGGAGTCCCCCAGCTGCCCTAAGCTCTGTTCTTTCCCCGTGTATAGGTGTCACCAAGAGTGACCTACACACGAGTGAGCCCAGGACGGGTGAGTACAAGCAGGGGCCCACCCTTGGTGTCCACGCCTGGAGACAGGAGCTCCTAGCAGGCTTCCCCACCTTTTCTGCTGATCGGCCCCATTCCTTACCACTTCCCTCAGGCAGAGGCAGGGCTCTAGTTCTCCACCCCACCTCCAAGCCCAGGACAGATCAGCCCCAGGACGGATGGCTCAAAGACAGTGAGCCATAGGCCTGTCATCTGCAGTACTGTGTCAGGATGCTGTTGGGTAGCTGGCTCTGTGGACAAGTGGCTGTGAGTGGAACTGTCTCTGAGAGTACCTGGAAAAAGCCCAGGCTCCAGCTCCCTGAGGGGACAGCGGGAAGTCTCCTGACTTTGTGGGCCCTAGTTTTCTGTAGGAGAGGGTATGAATTTTGTCTCTACCTGTGAGCAGCGAGGGAGGGTGTGTGCCAGCACCGGCGACAGTACAGAGCTGCAAAGTGGAAGGAGTGTGCCTCTGGTTCCCAGGCTCCACACTGCAGGCTCAGCTTCCGTGGCAGCCTCTCCATCTTCATTGCCAGCTCCTCTGATTTTTCCTTTGAAATACTTATTATTATTATTTATTATTATTATTTGAAATGGAGTCTCACTCTGTCGCCCAGGCTGGAGTGCAGTGGCACTTACTGCAACCTCTGCCTCCAGGTTCAAGCAATTCTCATGCCACAGCCTCCTGAGCAGCTGGGATTACAGGCGTGTGACACCTACCTCAGCTAATTTTGTATTTTTAGTAGAGACGAGGTTTCACCATGTTGTCCAGGCTGGTCTTGAGCTCCTGCCCTCAAGTGATCTGCCTGCCTCAGGCTCCCAAAGTGCTGGGATTACAGGCGTGAGGCACCATGCCTGGACTGAAATACCTAACTTAAATTGGCCGGGCACAGTGTCTCATGCCTGTAATCCCAGCACTTTGGGAGTCTGAGGCAGGTGGATTACTTGAGGTCAGGAGTTCAAGACCAGCTTGGCCAACATGGTGAAACCCCATCTCTACTAGAAATACAAAAATTAGCCAGGCGTAGTGGCACACCCCTGTAATCCCAGCTACTCGGGAGGCTGAGGCAGGAGAATTGCTTGAGCCGGGGAGGCAGAGGTTGCAGTGAGCCGAGACCGTGCCACTGTACTCCAGCCTGGCTGACAGAGCGAGACTGTCTCAAAAAAAAAAAAAAAATTCTCTGTAATAGCTCCAGGCCAAGAGTCATTGCCTCACTTTGCCACCTACCAGATTCCTTTCCTCAAACACCCTTTCATGAAGTCATTCCTCTGTTCACAAACTGTCAATGGCTCCTTATTTCCCACCTTATTGTGGCCGTACTCTCTGGCCTGGCTTTTCAGGCCTTACTTAAGTAAGCTTCGTCTGACCTCTCCACATCCTTGGTTCCTCTCCAGTTGTGTCAGGCTGTTTGCCACAGAAATGAGTTCCAGCCTCGCCCCCAGCACAGCCCCTTTGCTCCTGTTTATTCTCCTCCACACCTGGCCTATCCTGAATCAGAGAGTGCAGCTCCCTCCCCTCCTGTCATACTCTCCCATCCCTCTTCCCAGCCCCAGCAGGAGTCAGCTCCCCCTGAGACACTGCCTGATGGCATCAGCCTTTATTCCTCCCCTCCTCCTCTGATTTTATCTCTGATAATTTAGCAACTAATCACTAAGTTTTATTAGTTTGCTCTTTTATTTGCATTAGTTGTTTCTCTGAGTTTCTTTTTTTTTTTGAGACAGTATCTCGCTCTGTCGCCCAGGCTGGAGTGCAGTGGCGCAATCTCGGCTCATTGCAAGCTCCGCCTCCCGGGTTCACGCCATTCTCCCGCCTCAGCCTCCTGAGTAGCTGGGACTACAGGCGTCCGCCACCTAGCCCGGCTAATTTTTTGTATTTTTAGTAGAGATGGGGTTTCACCGTGTTAGCCAGGATGGTCTCGATCTCCTGACCACGTGATCCGCCCGTCTCGGCCTCCCAAAGTGCTGGGATTACAGGCTTGAGCCACCGCGCCCGGCCTCCCAGAGTTTCTTATACATTCCTTGCAAGCAGAGTCCAGGAGTTCTTTGGCATCTCCTACAGCATCTAGCACAGCACTGAGCACCAAGTCAACTCAATCAAAGAGTAATGAATGATTGATGGAGTATTTCCATCCTGAGATTGTGCACCTGCTGCCTGCCTGCTCTGTATCTGGATGCTCTTGGGAGATTGTATAGATCGGATTGATGGTCTTCATTTGGGGGATGCTTATGGCTTGGATTGTGAACGTGTAGAGCCATTGTGGAAAGGAAGGGTGAAAGGAACACTCAGAGGCAAGAGCAGGTACCTGCCAATACCCAGGGCCCTTTGTCCTTTCCTGAACCCTGAAGGCAGAAGAGCCATCCAGCTTATGGGAGTACCTTTAAACTGGCCCCCTGGATGGGAGAACTTGAGATTCTCTGGGAGGGCTCTGGGCCTGCTTTGATGTCTGTGTGCCTTTCCTCCAGGCTGAGGATGTCACCTTCCTCTACCACCCCTGTGCCCACCCCTGGCTGAAGTTCCAACTTGCCCTCTTGGCCTATGCTTGTATGGCTAACCCCTCCCTCGCCCCTGACTCCAGCCTCACGCAGGATCGGGTATGTAGCTGATGAAAGGTACTTGCCTGGCCCTGGCAAAAGGCCCTGTGTGCAGGGAAAGAAAAATTCAAGGGTTTTCTCTTGCTTGTCCCCCACCTTCCTCGTAGCTCTAACAGTTACCTCCTCTCATAGCCCCTGGTGCTGACTGCATGGGAGGTGGCGCTGGAGATGGCCTGGGTGGAGCCAACCTGGGCCGCCCACTGGCTGATGAGGAGGCGGAGGAGGAAGGAGAGGAAGAAGAAGGCATGGATCTACTGTGAAAGCCTTTCAGGGCTGGCGCCCACCGAGCCAACCCTGGGTAGAGGGAGGCTGTGCCGGAGAGGGTGTGTGCAGGTGAGAGGCGCTGGGCCCAGGCTTGTTGGTCCTTGGGTTCTCTGAGAGGGGCAGCAGGGTGATTGCTGTCTCCCCTCTCCTTAGGCCCTGGCTCTGGCCTTCGCTCTGCGGAGCTGGCGGCCCCCTGGCACAGAAGTGACATCTCAAGGGCCCAGGCAGCCCTCTCCCAATGGTGCCAAAAGACGGAGGCTGCGGGCTGCCCTTGGTCCCCAGCCCACTCGCTCAGCCCTGAGGTTTCCCTCTGCTTCCTCAGGGAGCTTGAAGGCCAGGCAGCCCATGGTGGGAATCCCTGGTAGGGAGAGTAATGCCCCATCTGTGCCCACTGTCTCCTTCCTGCCCGGGGCGCCTGGAGGCAATGCCAGCTCCAGGACAGAGGCTCAGGTGCTCAACGGGCAAGGCAGCCCTGGGGGCTGTGTCTGTTCAAGTCAGGCTTCCCCGGCCCCTCGCGCAGCAGCGCCTCCACGGGCAGCCCGCGGCCCCACCCCACGCACTGAAGAGGCCGCCTGGGCTGCCATGGCCCTAACCTTCCTGCTGGTGCTGCTCACCCTGGCCACGCTCTGCACACGGCTGCACAGAAACTTCCGACGCGGGGAGAGCATCTATTGGGGGCCCACAGCGGACAGCCAGGACACAGTGGCTGGTGAGGAGTTCCCACCCGAGGCCCCCACCCCACCTTGCGTGGCCCCGGCCCGCCGCCCCCCAGTGGCTTCCCTGCCCTCCCGCCCTTGACTGCTCGGCGCCTGGCCCACAGCTGTGCTGAAGCGGAGGCTGCTGCAGCCCTCGCGCCGGGTCAAGCGCTCCCGCCGGAGACCCCTCCTTCCGCCCACGCCAGACAGCGGCCCGGAAGGCGAGAGCTCGGAGTGATGGCCTAGGACCTGCCACTGTGGCATGCGGCTCTTCCCCGCACCTCTGCCACGTGGACCTCTGCCACGTGGACCGCGCGCGGGGCGCCCCCTGGTGGCGGCGGCACGGCCCTGACGGAGCACCGCGGGGGTTTTCCTCCTTGTTGATTGCTGAGTGGGCGGCCAAGGGGAGAAAAGGAGCCGCTTCTGCCTCCCTTGCCAAAACTCTGTTTCTAATTAAATTATTTTTAGTAGACTCTGGAGTTGAGCTTGTGCATCTGCCGCACAGAGACACTCCCACCCGGACCCTAGTCCTAGGCCATGAAGGTGGTATTTTTTGAGGCAGGCGTTTACCAATCAGATTGGCCACCACCAGCCCGCCCCCGCTGGCCAACCTGTCCCTGGACATGGGGCTTTAGGAGTATCCTCGTGGGAGGGTGACATTATTGTCATACATGTTAGAATAGTTACATATTCCCAAAGTTAACTCTTCCACTAGACAGATGTTCCCAGCACAGGGGCTTCCCTAGGGTGGGGGTCCTGGGGCACTTGCAGTCACCCTTCCTTTCACGTCTGCCACCTCCCTCCAGCCCCCATTCTCAGCATAAGAAACAGCTCATGGTCACTTCTTTATTTTTGATACAAATGTACATGACACGTCTTGACAGTCAGCCCACCCACCACCACACAGGTAGGGCCTGGCCCCCCAGGGAAGAAGCGGGATGGGGAGAGAGCTGGTGGGTCCCACCGTCTGCCTCTCCAGCCTTCCCAGGCTGCCAGCCAGGTTCCCAGACCTCCAGAGGGTGGGACCACAGCAGGTGCAGGTAGTGATGGTGGGTGCTGGCCTTGTAGAGGTTACAGGGAGGGGACTCAGCTCCACAGCCACCAGCTGAATCGGACACCCCGGGGAGCCAGCCCCAGGCTCAGGTGCTCTGTCCTCCACCCTAGCCAGCACATATTCCCCCTCCACACAGGAGCGGGAGGAGATGGAGGGAAGTGGTTTTTGATTTAAGTTCATAGAGAAGGGGTGAGAGTGGGGAGGGATCAGGGAGGCAGCGGGCAGGACCAAAACTGGTTACACGGGCAGTCCATGGCTCCAGGTGGGGAAGGGAAGCTGAACCCCACTCTGGTCCCACTGCTCTGGTCCCCTCACCCCTCAAAACTCCAGATGGACCAGGCCTCCGGAACGGCACTGCCGCCCGCACACTCAACACGCAGGCACGCGGGGACACTCAGTTACCACGAAGTTAAAATTAAGGGGTGGGGAAGAAGAAAGGGAAAAAGAAAAAACAAGACTTTCCAGTGTTTGCTGCTGGGGACCCCCAGCACACAGGTTGGGGCCTGTGCCCTAGGCAGGGGCCGTTTGGCATTAAAGGGAGAGCAGCAAGGGGCTGGTAGCTACAGGGCAGGGACATCCACGGAGACTATGTACAAAGGAGGGGATGCCCCTGCTCAGCCCCCAATAGGGCTGAACTGGCTCATGGGGGTGGGGCGCATGTACGGAGAGCTGCCCCACATGGAGTGTCCCCACCCGCCCCTTTGCTGAGGGTGCCCTCGAAGGCGAGGGGCTGGGAGTGATGCCTTGCAGGCCCCTGCTCACTAGGAGTGGGGAGATGCTATATACAGAGGGGAGGTGCATGGAATGTGGGGGACAGAAGCTCCTGCCACCCCACCTCCCCATCCTTAGGGGCTTGACAGGTGGGCACCAGGGCGCCTGGCTACCAGGGACAGTGGCAGCACTAAGGGCACTTGTGCCAGTGGCTCTGTTGGGGTGGGGATTAATGTCTGGAGTGGCCCAGCTCCTGTGGCCAGTGAGGTCCTAGGGTGCAGGTGAGGGTGTGGGGAGAGAGGTCACTGCTTCTTCTCTCGGGTGGTGATGGTGACCAGCTGCTTGGCAGCCTTGGCGATGTCATAGGCGCACTGGATCACCTGCTGAGTCAGCAGCTGGAAGTCCACTGGGGCGCCAGGCTCTGGCGGCACTGTCTTCCGGCACTCACTCTGCAGCCGGTAGGCGCTGGCGTTCAGCAGCCGCAGTGAGCTCCGCACTGGCTCCAGGGCTGGCCTCTGGAGGGGGCAGAAGTGAGGCTGGACCTTGGACTTTAAGCCGCCAGCTGCCACCAGGGCCCAGTTTCTCTGTGTCTCCACCCGGGTAGCAATCAGATGGGATTCTCCACGCCTGCCCTAGCCCGAGGCCCTCCCACTCCTGGTCCTCTCTTTGGCCCCTGTACCTTTGGGAAGAGGGAGGCCATCTCGGTCACAGCCAAATGGATCTTCTCTGAGCAGGGCACGAAGCTGCAGGGAGAAGGGAGGGTATAAATCAGGGGGCTCTCAAGGGAGGTTCCCAGGGACAGCAGAACCTAGGGCCCCTCATGCCCTCTGCAACACCCTAGAAACCAACAGGAACTGCATTCCCCCCGCCCCCTCCACTCAGTACCTGTCATGCTTGAACTCCTGGGCTGCCCGCAACAGTTCCTGAATGTTCTTGGTGACCTGCTCTGTCTTCAAGATGACATCCTCTGTGCTGGGAAGCCCAGGATCGAGGTCTCCATCCAGGCTTTCCAACTCTGGGTGGAAGTCCTCCTCTTTGCCCAGCTCTAGAAACCTCTTCCCTTCCAGCCTGAGGCCCAGGTCCGGAAAAGAGAGAAGATAAATATAGAGAAAGACACGTTCCAGCCTCGGAACCGCCTGCCTCGGTCCTCACAGACACACTGGGGACCCTCTCAACCTCCCCGCCTCGGTACATGAGCAGGCTGGGCTGAAGACCCAGGGAGCCTCACCCCAGCAGTGGGTCCCCACTTTGTGTGTTCTCATAATCACTGTCGGCTCCGCTGCCGTGGCGGGAAAGCTTGCTCTGGAGGGCGGAGGGAAGGGGCTGTGAGCGCTGTGCTCCTGGACCCACACAACCCCCAGCCCACATGGCCCCCAGCCAGCCTGTGGGCACTGGGTATGGAAACATTACCGTGTGGCGGCTTCCTTCCTGGGAGCAGGACAGCAGCGGGGAGGAGGGAGTGAAGGGCACAGCTGAGGCAGACACCCCCTTCCGGATCTGAAACCCAGGGCAGTGCTGGATGGAGTCAGTGTGCCCCACTGCCCCCTGCTCACCAGCAGTGCAGCAGGGACCGGGTCAGCCTAATCATCTTAGGCCCCGCATTCAGCACAGAGCCCAGAACCCCCTGGGGCTCAGAACCTACTGGCTAAGATGGACACGCCTTCCCCAGGCTTACCCGGTAAAGGCCAGCAGGGACGTGCACTGAATAGATGGCGTCGTCCTCTAGCTCCTGGGGATGTTAGCACAGTGAGCGTCATGGTGGACCCTGCAGCAGCCCCAACCATCTCCCCACACCTTGAGACCCACAGGTAACTCACAGTGCTGTGGAAAGGCTGCAGCCGTGTAGTAAGCTCGTCCCCCGGGGGGGCCCCAAAGGGCTTCAGGGCGGAGCCGGGTTCATACATGGAGAAGGCCTGGCGGTCCCTGCGGTGTGTGCTCCCGCCTGGTGCCATGGGTGTGTGTTCTGCCCGTTCACTGGGGAGTGGAGGTGTGGGCACTGGCCCTGGAGGCTGCCGGAGCTGCAGGTTCTCCGCCTGTAGCTTGTGGATCTGTGAGTGCAAAGTGCTGTCAACCCCCCTGGAGTCCTGGGGCTCCCCCTCCCACAGAGGCTGCACCCTCACCTCTCGCTGCAGCCTCCGGAGCTCGTCGCTCAGACTACTGTTGACCTTCATGAGCTGCTGCACCTTTGCCTCAGATGTAGCCAGGGCCTTCTTCAGCTCCAGGTACTCCTGCAGCGTCACAGCCCCATCAGACAAGTCCGAGGAGTCCATGCTCTGCAGAAAGAGACCTAAGCCAGTCAACACCTGGGGGCAGGGAGGCCAACACCCACAGGGGACAGTTATTGAGGCTAGGAGCAGCCCGCCTGTCCCTCAGGCCCCTGGGCTACAAGAGGAAAGAGCTGGGTCTCGGTGAAGGCCTGGGTCAGGGCACACGGGAGTGGGAGGGAGGGTGGGACTCGGACCCGGGCGCGGTTGCTCCGAGTGGCGCCGGTGCTACGCAAGGGTTCCTGGTCTGTGTCCTCGTCAGAGGCCACGCTGTCATAGTCGTGCTGGTCGTCGAGGTCACTCTGGCTCCGCAGAGACAGCTCAAGGTTGTCTGAGGACACAGGGGCGTCACTCAGGCCTCACTCCACCACAACCCGTCTCTCAGGCCACCACTGGCAGAGACAGCCATGTAGGAAAGACCCCTGGAGCCCCGCCCGCTGCCTGCACCACCCCCCCCAACCCTCCCACCTGTGGGGCTGCTCAGGCTCTTGCCCTGCTGTCTCCGCTTGGCCTCACTGAGAATGTCGATGATCAAGGTGGCAAACTCTCGGGCATTAAAGCGGGCCAGCTTTTGTCGCCCCTGCAAGGCAGAAAGGGCCAGGCTGGCTTCAGGGGACCCCTTATAACTGACGCAGAGGGGTGGGGACCAAGCAGCAGGGCATGGCTCTGCCATCTAATTTAACCCCAGCTAAAGCGTCCCAGCCTTGCTTCACCTGGCCAGTCAGCAGCTGAGGCCACGCGGGGCAGGGTATGATACAGTAGGGTGCCTGAGCAGAGGTCGGAACACCCGCCGGAGCTGCTCACCAAGTGCTCCAAAGAACGGCCTCCTGCCTCTTCCCAAATCCCAGTGCCAACTGAGCCCTGAGGGAGGCCCTGGCAAATGCTGGAGAGCTGGCTCAGGCCCCAGTCCACTGCCGGATGAGGAGGGACCGCCCGGATGAAGGAGACCACCCCAGGCCCCCAACCCAGCCCCCTTACCTGATTCCTCGTGGCTGAGTATTCCGGGTTAACAGGCAGGAAGGGCACGGCACTGCGCTCTGTCACCAGAGTGCTGTGGTTTTGGGTAGCCAGCCACACTGGAGGGGAGGGACAGGAGCAGATCAGCCACGGTGGCCAGGCCCCCACGGTGGGGGTGGGGAAGCACTGAGCCCAGCCTTCCTAGCTGCCCCCACGCCCATTGAGCACTGGTGTTCAGAACAGGGGTGCTCTTCAGGCACGCAGAGCTAGGCTGGGTCAGGGCAAGGCTGGGCACGGCCGGCTGGGGATAGACAAATGGAACAAGGCGGGTCCCACCCATCCAGACCCAGAGTTTGGGCTGGAATCCGGCTGTGGCCAGGAAGGAGTGATGCAGGAGGGCGGAGCAGTACCAGGGAGACAGCCAAAGTGGGAGGTTGCCAGAGTGAGAGGAGCCCCAGTCTGAAGCTGGGGGAGGAGCAGGCTAGC